CCCGGCTGCATTTGCAGTCGTTAATACCCGCCAATCCGCATTGGGCCAGCGTGGAGGGTCATGGCTCAACCTCCTTAACTATCCATAGGGAAGGCCTGAGTCCCTGCAGTAGTGCACTAAAACATAACATAAAAAGAAATATAAATATATTTGCAAAATGCTCTTATTAATTTTTTCTTCTAGGCAACCTTTGGCTGATAGAAACTTTACTAATGAATGACAAATATTGTCGGTTGGTTACAAATTGGTTACAACAATGGTTTGAACTAAGTACTCACGTTAGACCTAGTTTTATAAAAATACGGTTTATATTTAAAAGTAATGATCATATACTTTTAATCGTATTTGACAAAAGTAATAATAAAACTTGTTATAAATAAACCTCAGTTTCACCAAAGAGTACTTGAATGTGAAAGAAAAAACAACAGGACAGAAGATAAAGCCGTTCAATAAGGAATGCAATTGGCAAAAAAAAAGGTTTTACCCGAAACCTGTCCTACCTAACCGGTTTTCCGTCACGTGTTCACTAGGTAAACTTTTTACTCCTCTCCTGCACGGATATTCGGATTCTCTCCGATATACTACAAACATTGAGTCCCAAAAAGTTTAAAACCAAACGCAATTGGTGTGTCTGAATGTATGGCGATTGGAATGTTATAGAGCTGTTAAACGATTATAAATTATATTTTTGTTATCATAAATTATTTCCGAAATATTCAAATAAAATGTTTAATTTTTAACATTTGCTAATTTACTAACTTTGATCGGAATAATTTTGTTGTACTTTATTTCAAAATCGATGGAATGCTAGTAAAATATTATTTAATTGCTTGGAAATATAAAAACAGAAAATGATCTGAAACTTATTTCTCAGAAAATAATATCTAATCTGACTTTGTGACAGTAATTCACAACATATAATAAATGTTCCCACTCCTTTGCCACAGGTCTTCGAACGAAGAAAGGCCCATAACTCGCCACGCCATTCCCAGCGCGGATGGCGTCCCAGTGGTGTCAACGACTGCAAATGTTCCCAAAACCAACAGAGTAACGTACTTTCTGAAGCATGGAGTAAATTTTTGCTCACATATGACCCGTCCTTACAAAAGTTGTTTAACTTCCACATTAATAACATCACCACAGTAACAGGAAAACTTGAAACTACAAAACGACTGCAGCATCTGTATAGAAATTCATGTCTTACTTTTTATAACTTACCCATTTTTTAATTACTGCTAATTAAATACCTAAGCTCTAAAATCGTAACTATGTTAATACAGATTAGTTTTATTCTTGAAAACTCTCAGTATTTTTTTAAATTTCTGTTTTATATATATTTTTTTTAATTTTATTCAGTCTTTAAAGATTGGCTCAGTTATAAAATTTCCACCCCCGTATTGCTGTATTGAGGGTCATTAAAATTTACGAAGTAAAACTCAATTCAAGTTGCGTACCGCCGTGACACTTTCATTTCGTATTCAGCAAAGGTACTCCTTCAATTTTCACAGCAAAACATCAACTCCGTCGTTCAAAACACTAAGCTACACTCGATAAACTTAAAACGACAAAAATATACTAACAAAATCACGTTGGAAATCAAATTAAGCTTTCTTATTTACAGTCTAAATTTAAACAAATAAGTCAAATAGACGGTGAACTTATCAAATTAATTTATTCAGTGCATTCACAAAGGAAACTTTCTGCGATAAAAATTAATCAAAAAATTAAAATAGTAATGCCTACCTAATACAATATAATCTATGTTGAAATCAAAATGTTTCCCGCGATTGCACCAAACAGGCATCTATTATGACGTTTGTCGATCTGTTTGCTTTTCTTTTTTTTTCAAAATATACAACCGTCTATTTTCGTTTAGACCCTATGTATTCTGTACCTTCATATCTTACAACCGCTTCTTATCTTTTTATGCGATGCAAAGCAAGCCGCTTTACGCGTCAATTATCATTAGGCGAGATAAAAGAGAAAATGAGACGAAATCCACGCCCTCGTCAAAAGATAGACAAGAACAGAGGATGACTTATTCTACGTCAAAAACTATTTCTAAAAAATTACTTACAAACCTTATTGTAAAAGTTTTCCGTAAAGCCCTTTGCTTAAACGAATTACATAGGTACAATATTTATCAGTTTTCCCTATATGAGAAAAGTATAATTATGAGAAGCTATTAAGATTTCCAAGAGGTAAGTTTAATTTTGATAATAATAGTTTTGGATGTTACTTTTTTTTTAATAAATACAATTAAAAGTAAGTGATTTTGTTATAGGTACATATAAAGTGGGAAATAATTCTCCCATTGAAATGATGTATATTCCATCAACGTTAAGCCGACTAAAATTTTTGTTTGTTTAAAAACCAACGTGTACGGAAAAAAATAAAGAAAATGTTACCGACTTAAAATAAAAAAAAAAGAAAGATAATACTTATCTTAAAAGCGGTTACGTATTTTAAGAAACATTGAAGTCGGGGTGAAGTTTTCTGTAGTTAATTAATTTGTAGTCGGTACTACTTTTTTTAAGTTTTTATTTCATGGAATTTAGTGACATTTTGAGTTTTAGGGTAACAAACATCACACTTACTTAATGCAAATTTAAGACTTATATGGTTTTCTCATAGATACAATTACCAGATCTGGACTTAATTAAAATGGGACTACACGGCAAGCACTAGCTTGCAAATAAAGAATCGGTTCACCCAGTAAAAATATATGAGGTAACAAATAAGAAAAAAAAATACAGTCAAATTGAGAACCTCCTTCTTTATTTGGTTAAAAAATAATGAGTAAAGCAAGTTTCACTACTGTATACTAAAATAATCAAGTATCAGTAAATAGTTTACTTGAACAGTGTCATTAGCAAAGTTTGCTTATTTTTTTATTTGTTGTTCAAACGATATATTTGTAACAAATAAGTAATTACGTGAAATGTTCCAGATAATGTGCGCCAGATTTCTTCAATCAACAAATTGGGATTCGGTAGACGACATTCTATTTTTTTCCAATCATTATAATAAGTATGTCACGAAAATTGGCATGGCCTTGACATTGATGCCTTCTGTGTGAGATCTCTTATTATATTCAATATAATATACAGTATCTCAGTCACTCTATGTATGTTCTGTATTTGGTGTTATCAATAAAGTGTTATCTATCTATCTTATTATTAGACGCTCATAACGGCTCTACTGCTTGGGTGCAGCCCTTCCCTATATATTGAATCAAATAGGGAAAATGGGCCACCACGCGTGTTCAGTGCGGATTGATGGGTATTATTGCTGACCAATGGCTTAACATGCCTTCCGAAGCAAGGAGGAGTTCATTATTTTTTTTTAGTCGCTTTCGCTTAGCAGACTGAACACGCTAACCACTGTGCCATCAAACTTCTCGAAATACAGTTTAGATGAGACAATATAACTATTTCTAACATTGTAGTATACAGTTTCTCTATTTTCTAAGCCGTAATAGTGAGTAACGATAACATTTTCTATATTTTAGATTTTATAATAACTAGTTAACTCGTCAACTCGAGACATATCGTTTCTAAGAAACCAACGTTCGAAGAAATACTCACTCTTGTTTTCATAAAAATAGTTAAATCAGTTAAATATTTTTTAGAAGTAATTTATTTATTTCATAAAGAAAACGTAAATTTGAACATAGATAGCATAACTAGGTATATCAATATTAAATTAAAATGTTCAAGAATCATAGAAATGTTATATTTCTTCAAAATAAAGTTAAGCTGTAATCATGGTTATGAATATCAAATAACAATACATTTATAGAATAATATTACTATAAAAATTGCCTTTCTAAATAATAATATTCATAATTAAAAAAACACATTATATTTATTCTTTAATTCAATATAAAGCACATGCAGCATATTTTATCTAACTTTCCGTACCTCGAAAGGAAAAACGGAACCCTTATAGGATCGTTTCGTTGTCCATCCGTTCATATGTCTGTCAAGATCCTTTTTCTCAGGAACACGCAGAGGTATCTATACTGTCCCATGGAGCTGTAAAAAAAATCTACCTTCTAAGCTTTTTTAATCCAAAGGTTTTTTAGAAACTATCAAGGGAATCAAAATCTACAGGGTATTTCCCGTGAATTTAGAATCTTGAAAATTGGTACGAATTAACGTCTTATAACACAGATAAAGGAAGAATTAACAAAACCGTAAATTAACATCATATAATAAAAATATTTTTGATAAATACCTATAGTTTTGTACGGAACCCTCGGTGTGCGATTCCGACTTGCACTTGACCATTATTTTTATTGTAATTAATTATTTTAATTATTGTTTGTTTTTTACAGACACTTATTGTCCAATTTAATTATATCTTTCTACATTTTAATACTGTCAGTACATAAATTGGTTGGCATGTTTTTTTAGAGATGAAACTTTCATTTATAAACGTTACTTATAAAAACATACAAAAAGACTTTAATTAGGTTCCTCTTATATTTAAAAATGTCAAAGACGATGACAGAAGGTTCTTTTCCAATAAACATCAAGTTAATCTAATGGAATCTTTTGCCGAGTAACTGTCAATATGTTAAAATTATCAATCATGCTAAATGACAGTTAAATACTCAGGTTAGGAATGCATTATTTCGGCAGTCGCATAATGTAAGATTATAATTAGCAGCAATTAAATTCATGAAATTTTCCAACATTCAAACAAATATCTACAAAATCGTTTTGATTATCATAATAATAATTTATAAGGTAGCTTATAACGACTACAATAAAACTTATTATATTTATTGATTAAACTTAAAAAAATATATGTCAATTTAAAAATAAAAGAGACCACTCTTGATTATATAAATGAACACACAATACGTTTCGATCACTATGCACTAGTTACTTTTTTTTGTGAAAAAGATGATCGTATTAACCGCTCTATATGGATGCCGTACGAGCCTTTCTCAGAGCAAGCCACTAATACTATCACTTCCGGTCACTATAAAAATGTTTGTGCATTTCTGCAAAAGCATCATTGAAACAGAGCAAGCGTGGAGACGCGGTACACTAAGCAAAGACAACATGAGGACTTTTGTGAGTTGAAACATTATATTTATTTATTAAAATCGATAAAAATATAAAGAAAAAAAATCAATTGCAAAGTGACAAGGATAAATTACAAAAAAATAAGATAATATATATTTATAAAACAAAAAATCGACTTTAACATTATTTTATAATAATATACTTTTCTTTTTTGGCTGAAAAATATATTAAAGATATTGAAAAATTTCATTAAAAAGTGAGAAGGAAATATTAAAAAAAATTAGTCTTTTTATAAGTGTTGAAAAATTATATGAAAGCAATCTAGAAATGTTGAACTTTTCAAATTATTATATTTTTAATAGTCTTATAAATAAAATCTTGAAGTATGATTCCCAAATTAAGCTAACTACAGACTTAGAACACATAACTTTGAAGTCAAAAAAGTTGTTAGAGAGAAACAACGAAGTGGATACAAATTATAACAAAGGATATTTTAGTTGTTATAAAAACTTTATAAGAGCAATTTAAAGACTTCGTGAACAAACTAAAGAAGTTTTAAAAATAAATCTCTTTCATACTAGAATCCTTGAGGCATCTTGAGACCTTTTGTTTGTATTTTTAAAACCTAAATACCTTTACGTTCTATGGATCATGAACTTATGATACGTTCTCGATATTTCACAAAAGTCTCGTCAAAAAAAATTTTTTTTTCGCCTATTCATTTTGGATTTGGCTAGATAATATATATCATGACATTTAAATTCAATAACGATATCCATTTGAATATGACGATAAAACTTAAATATGTACCCTTAATTTCTTTTTTATGGTGAAATATTAAAAAACAATATTTAAATACCATGAAAAATTTTACCATATTTGACGTACATAAATCACTATATTACACATATACATCTCTCTCTTGAGCTAAAATACTGCGTTGTGTTATATATGTTATGCTAAAACATGGACTTTATTATCGCATTCTTACCAAACCTTTATAATTTCCATCTTAAAAAGTAACTAAATGACGAGTACATAATACCACTTGAATTGAGATGAATAATAGCAATAATTTAAAATACAAAGCAATTCTAACCGATCACCGATAAGTATAGGTGCACAAACAATTGTGTTATTAATCTATTGTTATAAAACCTTTGTGTAAAATGCCTCTTCTTTATATAAAATATATTGCTTTTATAAAATAAAATAAAAAATGTTATAATGACTATGTCATTAAAAATATAATACTGATTCGGGAAATAGTTTTGATTTGTTAATTAAAGCTATGTTGTATAACTTCTTTTTGACTTGTTGTTTCCTAATTAAGTTTAAAATTTCTTAGTTTAAAGTTTATTAGAATAACTTAAACATAACTTACCAGTTTTGAATAACCCTTTATTCAACTATAAACACAAGTAAATTTAGAGAGATGCCAAAAGCTATTATAACCATTGGAATTAAGTCAATGTAAATTGTAACCGGGTCGCCATGGCAACAGTTTACGGACTCTAGTTCAGTCCGATCGAACAGTTGTAAAAGATCTTATGCGTGGCTAATAAGTGGGCTGTGAGTATTACGTGTTCGGTGGCGCGCATAAGCCACTTGTAACACTATTATGCCACCAAATCTGACGTTTGATGGATTATTTGCGACACAAAGTAGGTGATAAAATATTTATGAAAGAATTCGTGAGGCGTTCATAGAACAAATTTGGAAGCTTAGATAAGTCACGAAAAACTTTTCTTTTTATAATAATAAAGAAGGTATATTGTTTTGTACTTTACACAAAGTGATCGTTAGTATTTTTATATAAATAAACGCGATTCTTATTCGACTGGCTAATCTAAGTTTTTATAAAGAACAGGTATGCTAAAAATTATTTAAAAAATTCAACCAATAGTGGGATAGAATAGGGACTTCAAAATTTTTCCTTAAGCTTTTCGGTATGGCACTTCTGAATTATTATCCTCCTTAGCTAAAAAAAAAATTCAATAATAGTGTGAAAATACGCATATATTGTTAAAAGAAACTATAATTTTTATTCGACTTGTTTGGAATTTATCGAATATACGTGGCTCATTTCATATGAATTCTAAATAACGTGACGTCATATAATAGATATATTTTTTTAGCTCAAATGTTAAAGTGTAAAATATGTGGTGAGTTCGAAACCTTTCTATATATCTTTTGGTAAATAATAAATACAAAAGGAAAATGTATATATAGACAAAAGAATTAAAAAAAAACTAGTTCGATTCCCTTTTGCAGCGGACCCTTACGGTGTAAATGCGTTAGTTTTTCAACCAATATTAAATAAATAAATATTGATATGTACCACGCGCTCCTTTACATCGTAATACCAAGTCGATCAGTTATATTTTGGTAACGTTATCATTTTTATTTTTTGCAAGTATTGATTACATACGATGATCATACTTGTAGCAATTATGAAAGTGAAATTGCAGGAGGAATATTGGAAACCAGTCTGTCTGGCTATAACAAAAACTACGTTCACTTAGTATTATATCGATCTGCAAAAGTAGTATTAACTAATGTGGTTACTTTTTTTAAATAAAGTTTTTTTTATTTAAGTAAAATTTTGTTTACGGACGTATAACTATTTAATAAATCTTATAGTAACAAAATCTTTTTCATATGTATGAATTTCTCTTAAGAAAAGTATTAGCAAAATTACAAAATTATTATAGATCATGTAGTAATGCCCCTTAAAGTATTCATTTGATCGGAAAGGCATCTTCGTACAGCCATGCCATTTCTTTAACTGTAAAGTATAAAATTTTACTACGTATTAGAAAGACGGAAAATTAGAATATTTTTTTTACTTTACGAATATCTGATTTAATTTATAAGTAGCGTAACATTTTTGAGATTGTGCATGTCGTATATAACATGCCTACTTGAATATTTGTGTCTAACACGAAATAACATTACAAATTAAGCTATTTAATAACTCATTATCATAAAATTATACGCGGCGATATAAAAAAAAATACTTATAAAATTTTGTCAAGACAAGATTTTATTATTATGTCAGATCTTTTGAATGGTATGGTCAAAATTACTTCACGATGCAATGAATGGCAATACTGCTTTATCAAAGACCTGGAAAGCAACAAAACATTATTTCTTCATAGTTCCAAAGAGGTTCTAAAGAACCGAGGAAGGGTACTTTCGAACGACAAACTCGACTTTAACAGATCCGTATAAGGATTATTTTAAATTGTCCTCTGCACGTAATTCGATTACTACTTAAACGGGAGCCTCTCACCAACCACCTCTCACTTCAAGTTTTGTGTTTTTTTTTTAACTACATAAGACTGATCTTACATTGACGTCTTATACATCAACTTGAGTCGTCAACTTTTTTTTTATCAACCGAAATTATTTTTAATTCTCCGAATGAAAGCTGTTCAGCTACCATTCACAAGTAGGGAAACATAAGTTGATTGAATTGGACATAATGTGAATGTTTATGTGAAATTCAAGCATTATGTGTTGCCCAAGATGTGAAAATTACGAAGAGGATTGTGGTCACCAGTAGGATTTCCGAAAAGTTTGAATGTCGAATAATATAAGCAGTATTTTATTTTGAATATACTACTTATCTTATATACTTGGGATTAGGTCAAACTGATATTCTAAGTTTAAATCATTCCAAAAATACTTCTTCGTTGATCACGAATTAATTTATAAAATAACGTTGTAAAAATATGTTCGTAAATATAATAATATAATGTTAAAAAAAGAATATAAAGAGTCGCACAAAAAAAGAACCTATGACTAATTGAGTTGTTATTCTGGTAATAGAATTCTATTTATATCGCGAAAGCTTCGATTTATGCACGCGACGAAAAGTGTAACGAATATAACATCAGCGATGTAAGAGTAACAGTTAATATGGTATTTATGTAAATTACCACGGTCTGGTGACTACCGAATAATTACACATTGCAAACCTTACATAACACACAATCCATTGGAATGGAATATTTTTGTGTCATTAAAAATAAATGTTAACAATGTGAAATGTGTAAAAAAGTATTTATTCAATTTGAAACTAACACAATGAAAACGGTCGCCAAGACGATTGTATAATACCTATAAAGGTGTACTTAACAAATTTCAATTGAAAATGTTTATCTTCAAACGTTGCGTTGCTCACCTACAGGTACGGTGTTAAGTTATAATATAACATAACACGTTTCTTCAATATTAAGATCTCAGAAAAACGAATCTAATCGCTTACTTAATAACAATAAAAGCTGTAGTTATACAGGTTATATTTCGATATTACATGAAAATTAAAAATGGTATTAAATTGTGTTATGGTATTAAGCTAATTATGTTTACAAAATTGAAATATATAATGACGTACAATAGTTTAATATTAATTAGAGACATTTGACAGGTTTATATAATCCGATGTGCAGTTGATTGTACTAGTTAATATTGAAGACGTCACAGTGAGTGTCTTGATTGCACGAAGGATCAATCTTCTCTGTAATACATCCTCTATAATACGACGACGTCTCATCCCACACGCTGAGCGAGAACTTTTAATAAATATTATGAGCTGCAGTCTTCTACAGTATATGATTCAGTAGCACTAACAATTCGTGGCGCTTGTGTCCCACTTTATAATTGAGTACATATTTTCTCGACACTTTGTCGTGTAAAATATAGCCCATGACACCAGCGTGCGATGCAACTTCTCGTAGGTGAAATAATTTTTAAAATCGTTTCATTAGTTCCAGAGCTTGTTCAACAGAAACCAACAATCAAATTGTCCCTCTTTATAATATTAGTATAACCCATGTTTCTCGCTAATATTGAAACTTTATATTGATGAAAGGATACTTAAATTTGGAACAATTATTTTTGAGTTATTTCATCAAAAGTAACAAATTTTTTCTTCTTTATAATATAGATTGGCCATTCGCATTGTTTTATTGGAAATCTAAAGATTCATAAGACCCTTTGACGCAACAAACAGGCTGCTTGTAACAAATATCCAAATTGTTCTTCTGATAAAAATAAAAACAAAGGAAACCTAATCTCAACGAAAAGGTCGTTGACATCTGAAGTATTCTCAGTTTTACGAGCCCTTCTTCAGACACTTTCAGTTTGAGTGTATACTACCGATATGAAACATACATGAATAAATATTTGCTTAGGCATCGAAATGGCTGAGCAACATATAGGTACAATTACATACCTATACAATTTCTTCTCTTTCAATGTGGTAAACAAGGAAAGTAAGTTTTTTATAGAAATACATAAAGTGTTTGATTAACATATTTTGTATTATTTATACATAAAAAGAAAACTGTTTAAAATTGCAAAACTAAAAGCATCTTATACGAAATTTCAATAATGTCATGGTTTTTTATATTCAAATATTTATTGAGTAAGTTTTCCTTTTTAAAATTATAAAATATTACGTGCACAAAATTAGTGTCGTTTTCTCTTTCTTTCTGCTTTGAGCTGTGACTAATCGTTTCAAAAGGAATGCCGAGAAGATTGATAACCGTTACACAAAAATATTTATTTGATACAATTCGATTCAAAAATCGAAATCTCAACGGGTGGTAAAAAGATAAACTCCCAATTGAAATGGCGTAACGAGTTCTAAACACTCCTTTGTTTTCATTGAATGAGGAAAACGAGTTCCAATTAAATGAAACATCGTTAATTCGAAACAATTATGGCACGATCTAAATTTAAAGTTTGAAGACCTCACAGAATGAAAACTAATTGAACGTTTTAAATCTAAAACAATAGACCTCACGAAACTGTTTAAATGTAAAATAAAGCGATAGAAAAATCAAACTAGAATCTTCCTTGGTCTACAATTTGCAATAATCTATCTTTTATTGTACATAATTATGATATTATAAAAAAAAACAAAATGTAATATTTAAGTATAAATTCTCTTGAACTATTTGGGAAAAGCAGTACCTATAAAAATATAGAATTATAAATGTGTGGAAAATAGATTATATAAAGCTGTTACGTTGACTTTAAGATAAGACTTATATTATCCATTTAATAGTTATTTGGGATCATTAAAGTAAATATGTTATATGATTGATGAAATTATGAAGAAGATATTTTGAAAGTTGATGAAATACTATTAAGGTTAAAATTATTCATTAATTAAATGAGATCAGAAAACAAGTTGCAAGTAATACATAATTATATATATGGATGAATCATCTTATTTTTCTTTTATTAAATAATCAAACACAGTTTTGTTCCGGCTTCTCAAGGAAAATTGTTTAACAGACAACTCGGCGAGCTGAATCTTTTGTCAACATGGGATTGTGAAAAGTTTTAAGACTAAGTTTTTTTCGTCTACGGAACATTTCTTTAACAGAGCGTGAAATTCAAATAATCACACTGAAGAATGAATTGAGGAAAATACGACTAGACCATGAATAATATGGTTCTGTACAAAACTACGCATTTATTTTTATTAATAAATTAGTGAAACCTATCAATATTTATTCTATCCGAAACTGATATATTTCATATATTGTCGTGGTAATTGTTAAAACAAATGTCTTAAAAATTCAACTGAAACAATCAATAACTTTGAGACTTATGCCGTGGTCATCTATAATAAGTCAGTACTTAGACTAAATTTGCTCTATTGCAATGCCAAATGCTATTCTGTTGTACAACTCTTTAAACTAAACTAAATATATCACATATTATAATTTGAATTAGTATAATGCATTGACTAACTAAAAAAAAATACTGGAATATGGAAACATGAATTTTAATAATTTATTTTTAAAGACTTAAAGAATTTAAAATTTATATCGGTTCTTTAGCAAGTCAATTAAATAAAATAACATAAGTAGTTTTCCCTACTCGATGTTCATATGCTATAGATATCTATTAATTGAACGTTTAGAGCATTCAATTTGAATTCAATGACATCAATGCGTGAAGTTTAATTAGTTAGCCCCGGGTAACATCAACACCGGTCGAAATAATTATTATCTACAATGTATTTAAATGAGCATCAAGTCAGCCAAATATCATTAATTTATTTTCAAGTCTGATGGTGATAGACATTTTAATTAGATAAAATGTCTATTTAAAATCCATAATTGAAACTTTTTCATTTAGGTTTGGAAATCTAGATGGCAATGAATGTGTTTATCTGTTGATAATAACCTACCCAGTTAGGTACTTACTTTACCTTCTTTGGAATAAGAGGATATTTATAGGGAAGACCTATTGTACCTTTATCATTAGGAATGAATAAAATAATTGTAGGGTGATCGAATCTTCATACAACACACGAACCCAATGCCAATTAAAATTACTAGATATATTGAGTTTTGGCCAACAATCTCTTAAACGACCTTTGGGGAAGTTACTTATAAGCAAAACACAAACACAACATCAAATGTTATAAAATTCAAAGCTAGACTCGTATGAACCCTTCGAAATAGAGACTATTCTCATAAACAATTTGGTGTCTGAAATAGACGTCTTTTTAAATATCGCTGAGATTTTCTGATTTTATTTGAAAATGATTCAAATTGTTGTCTGTGGAATCTTTCCTATAAATTTTGAAGTAATTAAAAGAATCGCGTTGCGATGTCTGTAAAAGAAATTTTTAGATCTTAATTATTAGCAAAATTAAGAAGTCAGATTTACTTTTACTAAAAATATATTTTTCTTTTATAATTTTATGAATAATTATAATTGGGCAAATAATAATAGTATTTCATTGTTACTTTATGTTAACGACAATGGATTAAGTAATGAATTTGAAGACGTCACGCCACAACCATACAAAAACATTATTTACATTTAAAAAAATAACCTGCATCAGACGGTAACTTACATAAAGTAATTTGAATGAATCACAGAATGGAAAGTGAGCGAATTGTTTTTGATCTTTTTAAATTGTTGCGTCCAAAACTCTTTCGAGTAATTGCCACTTAGTGTTCATTTCGCAAATAAACCAACTAAAATGCAAATGAACGGATTTCGATGTATACCTATTCATTACTTTTTAAAACTAATTATTATCGATTTAACATTCTTACGTTTCAATAACCCTTCCTTGTATACTAAATTGTAATATGAGTTACAGCGAAAAGTATAAATTTAAACAATTTTTTAAATAAATGTGTATGATAGAGACAATATTTGTTAATTTAAAAAGTTAGGCCGAGATATGTTAAAACGAGAATGCTCCAAAATTTTTAATTAATAAAATAAACACGTTTAAAAATATATCCAACAATTTTTAGTAACTGGCAAAACAATTTTTAAATATCCGTTCCCATTGTTTCAGGTGTGTTTGTTGACAGTAGTCGCCATTTGCCGGGCGGGGATTATTGACGTCGGTGGGCACGGGAACGGGGGAGGTTTAGAAGGAGGGTCTGGTTACGACTTCTCAGCACAGTTATCAGGTGGCGGGCAAGAAGGCCACGATTTTGGCGGCCAAGCCCAAGACTTGGGAGGACAGGGCGGTCACGATTTCGGTGGACAAGGCGGTCATGATTTCTCCGGTGGACAAGGCGGTCATGATTTCTCTGGTGGACAAGGCGGTCATGATTTCTCAGGTGGACAAGGGCAAGGAGGACACGATTTCACCCTCGCGTTGACACAAGGCGGACAGGGAGGACATGACTTCGGGCAGTCATTTGGAGGTCATGACCAAGGACAACAGAGCTTCGGCGGCCACGAAGGTGGACAAGGAGGTCATGGCTTTGGAGGAGATTCGTATCTTCAAGCGGCCCATGATTTGGGAAGCCAGGGATTTGGTCACGGTGATTTAGGTGGTCAAGGTGGTCATGCCTCTTTCGGTGGTCAAGGTGGTCATGCCTCTTTCGGTGGACAAGCTGGAGATTTCGGCGGTCACGGTGACGAGGGTGGTCATGGAGGATTCGGTGGACAGGGATTCGGACACGGCGGTCAACAGAGCTTCGAGCTATCAGATGCCGGCTATGGTGGTGACGAGCATGGATTCGGCGCTCACGTCATCCCCGTAGGAGAGCACACAGACGTTCAGAGCCCTGTTCAAGTGCCTCTGTACAAACATGTTACAGTTCCTGTACACAAGCCCCTTCACATCAACGTACCCAAGCCGGTCTTAGTCGGTATACCCCAGCCTTACCCAGTAAAAGTGCCAGTCCACAAACCAGTCGCTGTACCAGTCGAGACAGAGATCTCCATCCCCGTAGAGAAGGTCGTACCTTACCCAGTTGTCAAACATGTACCTTACCCCGTCGAGAAGCATGTACCCATCAAGGTGGAGAAGACCGTAACTGTACATGTACCCCAGCCTTACCCAGTGAAGATCCCAGTGTACAAAACCATCCATCATCATAAAGGTCATTAAAGACTGAGATGTGTGTATTATGCCTGTGTAAATGTGTGTTTGCTTTGTAAATATTGTTGATTAATTTTAAGTCATTTTCAACTGTCGTCATGTTGTAGTTGATTTATTTATTGTTTGTTACTTTATTGTTGAATATAAATGTTACCGATACCTTCTTTTCGAACAACCGTCTTTATTCTACTCCCTTTTCCAATCTCGAGTGACGTCATATTTCATAATTTCAGGTTTTACTACTGTTTTTATGACGGATGAAGCTGTAAAAGTAACAAATTTTATGAACAGTCACGATACCGTATAATCTGGTCTTATCCATTTCATAATGAAATAAGAATTATTTTATGATCCAAAAGAAATACAGTGTAATTTAATAAGGGTGGGTACTTGTTTTACAATGAAAAAGGTTTGCTTCGATGCCCATAAAATATGTTTTCCTGATAATAAATCAAAATTGATTCAATTTTTATTCATATTAATACAAATTCAGTTGTCGTAAATAGAGAAATTACATATAAATACATATTTCACATAAGTATTACATATTTTTTTATTATGAATCGGCGTTAGTTCGTTATACCTTTGAACTACCTAATAATAATTACCTTAAATATGTTGAAATACTAGCTGTTTCCCCGCGACTTTGTATAAGTAAATTATAGATTTTGTTACACGCCTATGATATAGTTGAAAGTAGGTAAAATATATTTTTTTAATTGATCTACTGGTTTCTGACACTATTCGATGCAAACAAACAAATAATAAAATATTTCTTCTTCGTCTATTTCAATACGTACTAAATAATAAAGAATGATTAATTTAAAGACACGAAATTCATTTCAATTTTTTATAAGTATATAATGTGTTTAATCATATAACATTATTAGTTTCCTAGTAAGATTATGCCGGATTAACTAGAAAAGTAATTGTTAGTTTAGTTTCACATATAGCGATATGTCAGCGGACAAAGAACGTCTTGGTACTGGGAGAATTAATTTCTCTGAGGGTCTCTGTGACGTTTTGTTGTCAGGGGAATATGTGGAGATGTCATTTAGCGAGAGCACACGAGAGGTTGAGGAAAAATTAAGTAATAATTACACTGAGTATGTACAATAATACGGGATGTCAGTTTTGATGAAATGTAGGCAATGATTAAATACTGAAAAACTTATTTTATTTTTATTTTACATTAAACTTCGGTACCGTACCTCATTGATAATCAAACAGTTACCTAATTTCATTGTTCTGATATATATTATTTTTAAATTTAATCAAATTTTCTACATAATTTTGATTCTAATCTGAAAGAAATACAGTAATATTTTAATTATTATATTTGATCACTTTTAGATTCACAATGCCTATACTGGAAATATTTTTAATGAAAAAAGCTTAAAAATCATGGGGCTGGTGAATTTTAATGTAATTTTTATTAAGAATATTTTCCAGTAGTAACTTATTTATTTTTTAATATAATCTGCAGTTAACTTGCGGCAATAAAATTCAATCACTGTAAATTTTTAATATATATGAACTTCCACACCAAGTCAGTACCTCTTAAGGTGGTTAAGGTGGTTGTCGACTGTCACCGCACGTATGCACCGGCTGCACGACACGTAACGGATTGCACGGATTTCCAGTTGTAATACGTCCATTGTATACACATTATTCATAGATGATTCTATGACAATTTAATTTGTCGGTTTTGATATCGGAATTATTTTGACAGTTTTGACATAACGCTGTGAAGTAATGTAAAGTAGCTCTATGGAGTAATCTGTATGTCTTAATCAGCATTTTCTTTGCTCATATACTATATTATGTGCTGGCGGTGCAGCCAGAGCGGATAGTGGACTGAGTGCTGTAAATATTCATACAAAGATATGAAAAATCACTTGCGTGTCGTGCGGTCGGTGCATGTGAGGAACCGGTAAGAAACTCAGCAAGGGCTGCTTATTTAATTCTAAAACAATTTATATATCTACATCCAGACCCCACCACGGATCCACAGTTATAAATTGGGTCGCCTTAAATTGTATCGCTTCACGATGTGGTGCGTGGTTTGATCTTCAATGCCGTAATCATACAATGCTGAATCTGTCAATCCCCATTTGAGATTCAGGTAAATTGCATTTGGCGTGCCTAATTTGAATTCTGTGCGAATAGCATCTGTATTTTCTTGACAAGGAGATTCCTGATGCTTTCTGAGTTGGATGCTAGTGAAGCAAACAGGGTTTCTATAGATTCCTTCTTTATTTTTAATCAGTTGATGTGGTAAACAAAGGATATTAATGGAACTAAGAATAAAATATTGCAGATACACTTTAAACACGCAGTAAAATATTTGTGAAGTCACGTTAAAATTAAGTACGTATTCCTAATGAAAAATGCTAAAAAAAAATTACTTTGTAACCTGGCACTCTGAGATGAGACTCGAACCCTTTCGCAAATCGGGAGACCCCTCTAAACACTGAGCTACCCAGGACCTAACAGGACTGACAAATTTTTCAAGCATTTATTACTTTTCGCTACTACAGAGCATATTTTCATCAATGTTCAGGCAATCCACCAAAACAGCCGAAAGAAATTTTTTTTTTTACTTATATTTAAATATTTAAAAAAAATCAATTTAAAACTAAACATCCCGAAATGAATGCCAGTCTTTTTAATTTATTCTAAGCTTCATTTTATTTTAATCTATACCGGCGTTTACACAGATCGATTTATATTGAAATTAAGAGATATAAATCCATTAAAAAATAATAAAATGTAGACAAAGAAGTATATCAATAAACATAAAATTTTTCGAGAAAATGAATCTTGAATTTATTTAGCAGTCGGATTTTAGCTTTTCAACTTGCTTTTATTCAAATTATATTGGGGTTGCAATTGCATAAAGTATTAAAAAGAGCCAATAAAGCACTTTTATTTGATACCAAAAAGATATAGTTAAAACTAAACAAAAAATGTGACATAGCGTCTCTTAAAGTAAAAAATGACTATTCTCACAAAAACAGTACATATTTCTTTGATAGTAAAATAATAATTAGATTTGTCAATTTATTCAAAATCATTCGCATCAATGTGTAAATAGATCTTATCGAAACTGAACGAAAATTGAACCACTTTTTTTTTAAACATATATTGGACGTATTGCGTTCCTGGTTTTATTTTGAAATTCAACATATGAAGGGTCAGATTATTATTCAGATTAGTTCTTGACTGAAAAGACCAATGATGTGTTTCATTCTTAATAAATATTACCAAAATTGACAAATTAATAAAAACTCCTTTAATAAAATCACTTTACGGTCAGTTGCACAAACGTCCATTAAGGTTTGATGACGCCTTTAACCACAAATGAATGTCAAATTTGTATGGGTAATGTCGCTTTTAACTAATGACAATTTTAATGGACGATTGTGTAACTGGCTGATAGTCCCACAAATGAATACTACTTTACAGTTATGCTACACTGTTAGTCATTATAATAGCAATGAAAAACAATCAGTCAGCCTTCATGCCCATTGGTTTGTAAAAAAATATGATATTGCCGAGTTAAAGAAATATGACTAATATCACGTTTACCAATATCGAGTTGTCAAGACTGGATATTATTGTTAAAATAGTAAACAGCACCTATCTAAACTCATAAAATTCCACTTGGATAAACATTCGTTAATAAAACAGTAATCCGTGCTGGGTCCGCATGGTTAATGGCCCGTGACAATAATAGGTTGACAATGATAAATTGAGCCCTAATATATTTTACAATTCAGCTGCCTAACACGCGAATCTCCAAAAGATTTAATTTCCACCTATTCATTAAAAAGAAAATGTGTTTTGGAGCGTTTGTTTTGATTTTAATCTAAGCAATCAATTTTAGTATCACGGTAACAGTTTTAAAAGTTTTGTGAACAGATTTTTTATAAATAGGGGCAAAGAGTAGTAGTTCGTGATGGTTGCGTAACTCGTTGCCCCTTGCGAATCTTAATTTCCAAATTTATACAGGCAGGCATAATCCAAGTATTAAAGGAATTTATTAAAATAATAGCACAATAAAGCGTAGAAATAGGCGACTTAATGCCATAAGGCATGTTCTTCTATTCAACCGAAGTCACAAGCTTCATACTGTCGTAATTTTTTCTAAGAAATATATATAATTCGTAAGGAAAGAAAAATATTAAAATAGGATTATCAGATCTCTGAAAATTCACAAATGTGTATAGGAAATCGATATAACCGAAACATATAAAGACATTTGGTGCTGATAATAAAAATAGAACTACTATGTTATTCATATACCAATAGAATTCGTCATAAACAAATCTAACATCTATCTAGCTTGTTTTTTTTTACCATTTGATAGGTAAAATAGAATTGAAGTATTATTTATTATTATATGATTACGAGTCATGATTTCCATTTATGAAAACTTTATATCTGGATCGGTCGGTGTAAAGTCCACTTTTCCATCGTAAATAAAGAATATCAGCCAGAAACGAGGATGCATAATTAATTGTCAGCCGGCTTCGTTAGTTAAAACAAGTTAATTTGCGAAAGAATGTTCCCAGAAAATAACCATTGAAGCCAGTAGCGTGAAATTTTGGAGATTTTTCCCGTTTACAATTTTAGTAGGGTCAATGTTCATGATTCTATATAAGTGGAAACTGATGTTTATTTCATGATGTTTCGTTTGGTAGAATATGACAAAAACTTCATTTTCTTCTTAAGAAATATTTTTCAGTAATCCACTTTAATATGTTTACAAATAGAATTCCTTTACTTCAAGAGTCCTCGTAAACAAAATGAAACTGCGTTTTTTGCGCGGTTTCGGAAATATTAATTTAAACTTTGATTTTTTAATAAATACAGTAAATTTCCCCGAAATATTAATGTAAGTAATATGCTTATGATGTATAAAGAATAAATTAAAACGATTTCTATTATCATTGAATTATGAAATCAAAATTGATTAGTTAAGTTTAAATATAAAAATTAAAACG